AAGAAATATTAGAATATTTTCAGAAACTGTTATTTTCTGATTTTGATTTCTATAAAAATCATTATCTAGAAAACGGATGTGAACGTAAAATTCTTCAAAGAATAGGGATCTGTAGGGATTTTAAAATAGATATCGTAATAGGTACATAAAAAAATTGTTAATGTCAAAGTATTATTATAGGTATTTTATTATTAACATAGAAATCTATAGAGATTTAAAAATATTCTCATAGAAATATAATATGTTTTTTAACGTCAAAGTGGAAATGGGTATCTTATTATTAACATAAGGCTTAAGAAAGAAACTATCATTCTTAGGTCAAGATATGAAGATTAAATGATGAACGAGTTAGAAGTCTACGACTGATAATTATTATCTTTCTTTTATTACGAGGAATACGATTGTAAGGTAATAATTTTATATCTCACAAAGAGACATGTATCATTAGTTAAGTCTTTTATTCCTGTACTTAGACGGGCTGTCAAACTCCCATAAAGTCGACCAGTTATCAAGAAGCTACCCCTCATAAGCTCCATTTACACAGACGAACACCTATGAAACTTTTTACGACACTCTTGATAATTTGTCTTACCACCTGCCTTCGTAAATTTATTCTTCAAATGTTATCTCGCGGATGAAGATTAATGTTCACCATATTGCACCTTACACTCTAGTAAGATAAATTGACTTCCATTTACGGTTGGAGTGTCTTCTAGCAATGAAGACATTTTTCATTTTGTCGTGCAACAAGAGTATTGGGTGCACTGATTAAGGTCCATTGGAAAACACATCCAACACTTTCAGTACACTGCTTTGCTTTGTTGGGCCGAGAATTTTTGTTTAACGGAATATTTTTCGTGTTGGAGAGAATACTTTTTACGTTGTGCTGAATATTTGTTGCATATGACGTAACGCTTTTTTAATTAAATGGAATACTTTGAATAGAATACTGTTAATTTCACACATTAGACTAGATAATTCCCGTACTTTCTTGGTTATTTTTGTTATTAGTCAAAATATTTTTCACATTAGGCATGTTAGTGTTTGGGTATTTGATTAAATACTTTTCGTGTTTTGCGCATTGGCGTAAGTAGGAATAATTTTGAGGTGGATCAGGTCCACATAATAGTAGAAGAATATTAGAATTTTTTAATATTTTAATCTTAGTATTTTAGAGCCGTGTCTTAGAATTTTAGAATTTAAGAACCTTAGGATCTTATAATTTTTAAATAGTGAGGGGGCCAGCCCACGTGGGGGGGGCTTAGCCTCTACTTACTTAATAATAAAAATGAATATTCAAAGTAGAATATACGTATTATGATTATGATGCAGGCTGATAAAGTTACATTTATTTAATCTAAAACTAAAAGTACAATATTAATGCTACAAAGAATTTTTTTTTCTTTTTATAATAATTCGGTTGTATTATATTTGCTGATTACCGATGATTCTTACGACTCTTTAACTAACACATTAACTGCCATATCGGTCAAAGATAACCAGCAGAGCAAATGCAGTATTTATCAATTGATAAATAAATAGAAGAAAGAAAGAAATGTTTAATAACAGTAATGTTACATTAATTAGAAAGTTAAGATTTAATTCTGAAGATTATAATTTAACAAAGTAATTAAAATAAATTGAAGGAGGACAGTAGGAAAATTCTGAACATGATTATATACATAATTGTACTAATAATTGGAAACAGAATTCAGTCATCAGATTAGAAAATTAATCCCTAATATCTGTAATAATCTATATTATCGCGTGCTGTCTTATCTATGACTGATTCTATTGTGCCATTCGACATGTAAAATTAACGTTGATCAATTGAATTAAAAAAATAAAGAAACGTCAATGTTATTTTATTAACAGGTGATAAAAGCTATAAAATGTGTTCTATGAATGAAGTCAATTTATTTGATAAAGGTTGTCAATTATTTATCTTTGAAGTTATAATTGAATAATGGATATCTTTAAATTAATTCTATCATCGTTTAGATAAAGTAATTATTAATTACAAGATAAAGTAACTTTTATTGCTAACTGAAGCTGTTATCTGCCAAAATTCAATATTTGCTAAAATTATTTGGAAAATTATAATTTTTTACAGAATTATTTATTAGTATTCCATAAATTACAATGCTTAATTCAAGTAAACATCACTGGAATTAATAATTTTTTATCCTAGTAGCATTAAATTTTTTATTTCTTTGCAGTAGAATTTAACTAGTTTTGAAGTAAAATGTTGAAGAAAGTCGTGAATTTGTTTTCAGCCTAATATACATAAATCTTATCAGCTGAGTGAAATTTCAGAAGTCTTAATTAAGAGATTATAAAACGAAAAGGATGTAAGAACACTTGGTTTCTTTGCAGAGCTTTTCCGTTGGTTTGCTGAAACCTTTTTTAAAATCACTTCTTAAAAAATATTTACCGGTATGTCAAAGGCATACATTACTCGGTATGATTTTAAAGTGCTATGCTTGTAACAACGAGCGAGTAATATTACATAATTAAAATGACAATAATTAATCTTTCTACAGTAATACAAATTGTAAAAGAATTACTAATGTTATTTTAGATTCACTTTAACTATTTCAACATAAAAAATTAATTAACGTTTTTACACTGTTTCTCATTACCAAACTTATATTATACATTGATTACTTAATGAAATTTATGAGGTGCAGAAAATTATTTATTTGTAATTACAAACTTTACTCATCAGCCTGAAAGGTCGTACAAGTTGCTTCAGCAAGTTTTTCAATTCTTTAAAAACTTTCATTGTTATTCAGCCAGTTTAACTTAGAACAGATATAATTAACGCTTTCATATTACAGTTTTATTACTTGACAATTTAATGATCGCTGTGTCTTCACACTACTATTCTTCGCGTTATTTCCATCTGCTCAATTAGATGTTACTTGCAATTTGAAAATTAGTAATTTCACGGCGTATACTAAATGAAGCTCTAGACTGAACTTCACTTTGGGGCAAACAACCTTATTAATTTTCTGTTTATACATTTTAATACTATTCGATGAGAAAAATTCAAAACTATAAATTTTGGCGGAATAACTCAAATGAGTATACATAGATGTGTTTCGCACGTATTGAGTCAGATTAGGTTAGTTTTTTGACATCATTTTGATACTCGTCTGTGCGGGCCAATCAAATTACAAAGAGAAGTCAATATGGCGTCAACTAACCTGGAAAGTACGTTAAAAATGATGATTTTTATATATGTATTTTTAAACAGATGAATTCCCAAAGGTAAAACTTGAATTTTTGAATTTTTCTCGTCGAATACAAAAGACGTCAATAATTTTGTATGCCCGAGAGTAAAGTTCAATCAAGCTCTGAAATATAATTTTCTATCAATAACTTTTGTTAGATATAAAATAAGTTTGCAATTGCAAGTCATCAATTTTACAAAATATACAACTGTTAAAGTGTTAATAATTCTCATTACCATAGTGACGTTACAGACTAATTACTTAATGAATTGTGCAGGCTGCAAAGCATTATTTATCAGCAATTATAAACTTCATCCATCAGCCTGAACGAACGAACAAGTTGTCTCTATTAAAGGTTTCTTGGTGCCTTAATATAACTATAAATGATGTATGCTACATCGGCGACCCTCGCGTCGTATTAGTTACGAATATAGCGGCCTATTAGCTCCGTATCAAAGCAGTGGAACCAACGAAGGTGGAGAAATGGGTCAAACTAACATTTTCTTTTTATGAAATATTGACGTTGATGGGAGACTGTGAAATTCAATTACGCCGACGGAAGCCTTAGTGGATATTTGATATTTCATGTGCACAATGCCTTGTGCAGCGTCGAAAGGCTCGGCTTAAAAGAGTTCCAGCTGTAGTCTTTGAACTTGAAATTCTACAGTCCACCAACGCGGATTTAATAAATAACGAGGCCTTTGCGGCGAGAAATGAGAAAAGATGTTGCCAAGAATTTTCCAATATTCCCTGACAATATTTCTTTCAACATTGTTTGTGTAACTACTTTGTTACGCTTGATGCGAAATAAAGCAGAATGAGGTTCTTTGAAGCAACTGCAATTCTGTCCACTTTAGTTAAACCGTCCTATTTATCACCTTTCATTTTTCAAGGTATTTGAAAATATTTTTCAACTTTTAAGAAAAGTTAAAATATTTTACATACTTTATTTGAATTATAAAATTCCTTTATTAATTTTTCTAATATAGTTTGGAATGTTAATTAGGAAAATTAAACTAAGGGTGGTAGAATTGAGGAACTTCTGTAAATATACAGATTAAATTATACGTATCCATAAATTGCTAATGCAATAGTGAAATAATTTAATAAATAAGAAAAAGAGTTTACTGGAAAAAGGCATTTTTAATAAAATATTGTTTTCCAATTTAATTGTATACTAATTGGAAAAAGGGCATTTTTAAAATACTCTATACGCTAAATAAGCTATTCATCAACATTACAGTTTAATAAATAAATAAAAAACTCAATTTTGCAATTTTAACATTGCACTTAAAATTCATTACGTATATTAGGTACATATATTTCAAGTAAATTACAAAATCGTAACTTACAGATCATGTTTTCTTAACCCCTTCATATTCACAAACAAGATATCTCGTAAACTGATTTTTTCTAAACGATTCTTTGGACAAGACATAAAATTGCAAATTTCGAAGCATAGAAAGTCTGATATGATTTGATGAAATAAAAATATAATAAAATAGTATTTATTATATATCAATTAGAAATTTGAAGTTTGATGAAAATAACTACATAAGTCGTTTATTAATGATTTTAATATACAATAACTAATAGCCAATTATAGCGTACAGTGATCCATCTTGAAATATTTATAGCCTGATACTTTTTTAGTCAAAATGAACAAATTACATAAGGAAGAACCAAATGAGTTAGTGACATTATTTGAAAAAGATGAATTCTTTTAAAACAGTGCTTTAACTTTAAATGTTATTTGTGTTGCAGAAAATGGTTGCGGAAAAGTACGATAAGCTCGAACCTGAGCTGAAACAAGAACTCAAAAACATTGCCCAGCAAATCGTGGCACCAGGAAAGGGAATCCTAGCTGCTGATGAATCGACAACAACAATTGGCAAACGTTTAAAGGACATCAATGTTGAAAACACTGAAGAGAATCGTAAAGCATACAGACAACTTCTTTTCACCTCTGCAAAGGTATAGTCTATTAACGTCACCTTCCATTTTCATTATCGTGTAATTCGAAACTTAACAATGTAGTAGAAATTTAAAATAAAAAGAAGATAATCACCTTTTGCATAACAAATTTAAGTGCGAAGAATTCAATAATAATTAGAATAACAATAGAATTAGAATTAGTTTTTCTGTTCTAATGATTTAGTTGTTTTCAATTGTCTTCTAAACGATAAATTTAAGGAAAATAAATCTTTATTCTAATATGTTTAGATACTTTTTAATTTATCTGATTACATAATTTCCATTAAATCTGTGGTTGTAATCAATGGTTCTTCCAAAGGATAATTTAATTAAGGATTTCCTTTGATTACTCGTTCAAGATAAATGGTAAATGAGATTTCAGCAATTTTCAGAAATGCCATTTCCATGCTTTGATCTATTAATTTTATCATCAAATTTCTCAAATTATTCAGTTTAATAATCATCTTACTGAAACATAAAGAGCAAGGACCTCTTGATTAGTTTCCAACCAAGTAATTAATTTATTCCCTCTGACTGATGATTTCTTTTATTCCATCAATTTAGGACGTTATTGGCCAGCACATCTCTGGTGTCATCTTGTTCCACGAGACTCTCTACCAGAAAGCCGATGATGGAACACCCTTCGTTGAGCTTCTGAAGCAACGTAACATCCTCCCCGGTATCAAGGTCGACACGGGTGTCGTGCCACTCTTTGGCACCAACGACGAGTGCACGACCCAAGGTCTCGACGGTCTTCAGGAACGTTGCATCCAGTACAAAAAGGATGGATGCCACTTCGCTAAGTGGCGTTGTGTGTTGAAGATCAAGAAAGACACCCCAAGCAAACTGGCTATCTTGGAAAACGCCAATGTTTTGGCTCGTTACGCTTCCATCTGCCAGAGTGCCAGGATCGTACCCATCGTCGAGCCTGAAATTTTGCCTGATGGTGACCACGACCTTGCTCGTTGCCAAGCGGTTACAGAGGAAGTTCTGGCCGCCGTTTACAAGGTGGGTGTAGCAATTTGCACATTAGTTGTATTGATTTGGAATTAATTCGGTTGAAGCCATTTTGAGCTCATTGCTTCATAAATAGTGACATGTAAAGTGTTTTGCGTCATTGATATAAATTGTAACTTTAAAATAACAAGAAAGATGTTGGAAGATAAAATTAAAGTGGTATATTGATCTAGTAACACTCAAACTTTGTGTTTGCTATACATTTTTCTTCCATTCTGGTGTTGCATCTAAAATTATAATTGGTCTCATTTGTATATATTTTCTTACTTTGTATTTCAATCCTTTTATAGTTAAGTAAACTTTATTCTATATATGTATTTATTTAAATTCCATGATACATTTTCTAGGCACTCAATGACCATCATGTGTACCTTGAGGGAACCCTGCTGAAACCAAACATGGTTACCCCAGGTCAGAGCTGCCCCAAGAAAGCTACTCCTCAAGAGATTGCAGCTGCCACAGTGACTGCTTTGTTGCGCACTGTGCCACCTGCAGTACCTGGTATCACCTTCCTTAGCGGTGGACAATCTGAGGAGGAGGCATCTGTGAACTTGGACGCCATCAACAAGTTCCCAGCCAACAAACCTTGGGCACTGACCTTCAGTTATGGTCGTGCTCTCCAAGCTTCTGTCCTCCGTGCATGGGGAGGCAAGAAGGAACAAATTAATGCTGGCCAACAAGAACTTATCAAGAGGGCTAAGGTAACTTTGATACCAACATCTCAGGTTTCCTTAAGTTTTCTATTATTTTAATTTTAGAATAGTTTCTGTTTTTAAAAAAATTTTTTTTTTATTATACACTGTTATGTGCTAACGTAACTGTTTTTCACATATATTTCATTATTTCAACTGATATTCGTGAATAAAACTTTTTGTTTTATTTTTTTAACCAGTTTCCTTTTTTATTAATTTTTTGCATGAATTTTGACTGAATTACTTTTTTTTAAATTTATTTTTTGTATGTATCTTATTATTCTCTTCTGCATCTGTTACTTCTTCACACGTTCCATTCATTTAATTATAGCTTCCATAGTATTACATTTTAGAAGTTATTCTTATGTTTTAGATTTTAGTCTTAGCTTTAGTTAGTCTCTTGATTTATTTTTTCCTTTTTGTTTTATCATTTATTTTTGCATGTCTGTATATTGTGTGCTCATTTAGGCCAATAGTGCAGCTTCCCAAGGCAAATACGTTGCTGGCAGCATTGTCAGCGCAGCTGCAAATACTTCTCTCTATGTGAAATCTCATGCCTATTAAACTTTTACTTTTCTTATTACAATACATAGTAAGTATTTAGTTTCTACATTTATTTCTTATTCTTTTACTTTGTAATACTAACAGTTATGTGATTGAATTAATGTTTGTAATTTAAATCAGCAATGGTTGTCAATAATCAATAATATCTAGTATAACTAACTATCTCAAACGTTAAAAAGAATAACATCTAATAAGTATAATTTTCTGTTTATAGGCTAACAGTGAATCGGCACTTGGCAAGTACGCAGGTGGCGTAACGGGAGCTGCCGGCGATGCCGCACTTTTCGTCGCAAACCATGCGTATTAAAATTAATTTCTAGCACATCGATAAGGATTTCCGTTAGACAATTAGATCGTTCGTGGAACATCGCCAACGTCGATCACCGTTGCTGGCATGAAAACATTACCATCGACAGTGAAGATGAAAAACGAATGAAGACTCAAGGCAATTCGAAACACTGGAAACACTCGAAACACTCGAAACACAATGCATTCGCACAGTCTCTGTATAGTTTCACATTTAACACGATCAATGAACGGAAATCGATTCAATTTTAACCTGTCACGATAATTGGCTCATTTCCACGTGATTTTAATCAATCAGATTTTAATGCTTTTCAACGTATACAGTAGCTAAAGAATATGTTGTGTTTCAATGCGAGATCAAATCTTATATGTACTCAGGATCATGAAATGTCTGCCCGACGTCGTTGACCAAGATTTACTCCTAATCATTTCAAGAAAAGCTAAATATGAACGATTTTTACTCTTCTTGCTTTCTATTTTTCTCCTGCGCTATCCTTTTTTCCTTTGACTTCCATCCTTATCCCTGTATTTCGCTAGGATTATGTAAAGCGACGAAGAGTGTTTAACGTGTATCTTCATCGTGCGTGTCGTTCCAAGCAAATATTGATAATGATTGGGAGAACATGGTCAACGCGTACTCATACGAGCCTAATAGGCGATATTAATCAGGAAGAGATGCTTTATTTCAATCGTGAACAGATTTCGCGACATTCGAATCACGCACGCGTTATTATATTCTGTAATACTATAATAAAAAGCAGATATATATATTATATATATTGTCAATGTCGTTATGATATTCTACGTGTATAAAAAAAAAAGATACAAGAAAAACAGAAAAAAAAGATAAAGTAAAGATACATATTAAATGTTGTTTGTTAGCGAATGAGTCGAATATTATGAAGTAATATTATGTCATCTACTTATACAATATGTGTATCTTATTAATAGATATTTAAGTAACGTATTGAAAAGTATCTCGTACATCGATGTTATATATCTACTATTTTCATTGTAATCTAGGTCACCAAATACACTGTGGAGGGTATTTGATGTGTTTTTTATTCCAACGCCTGTCCGAGTACATTGACTTCTAATTTGGTGTAATGTTAATAATGATATATTAATTGTTGAAATTCCTTTGTATCAATTATAACTATGAGGAAAGCTTTGATATTTATCTACTATTAAAATAGTTTTTGTTGCTGTGTGGTCATAATTGAAATTAATTTCAATTAAATTCAGTAATATTTTAAGATTTGCAAACATTAAACGTCTCTTTAGTTAATCAACACAATATTTTCGATTATCAGAGGAAATTTAGTATTACTATTATTAAAAGAAATAAAATACTGTTCGTACTGTTAAGGTATTTGGGTTGAAAATTAATTAGTTTGAAAAATATTCTAGGGAGAGGCTTATTGTTAGGCTCTTTCATGCCTCAGTTTAGACTGTTTAGAGCTATAGCCTGACACTCTATGTATTTGTGAAACTACTCTTCCTAAATTAATTTCAAATATTTTGCCGTTTTAGTTGAATTGTAATTTGATAGCAAAATAGTTAAATAATAGTACAAAAATAATGATCAATATTTCTTAACAATAAAAAAAAACACAGAAGTTGATTACAGAAAAAAAATATATTATTTCTCTGATATTCGTATATAAATTGCTAACATTCGCATTTTTGTTAAAAGAAATATAAGGCATTCAAAATTATGTTATTTTACCTGCAACGATATATGCAATATGGAATATTGCATATATGCAATTCACTCCAAGTATAACAGTTCGGAGTAAAAAAGTTCATTTCAGTTTACATACTGTTTTACACGATGAATTACTTTACATACTTTTAAACAACCTTAGATAGTTTAAAACGTGCACAGAACGATCAATACGATCATTTTTCGTAAAATTTCGCGCCAATTGCCCGTGACTGAAGCAGGAAACTAGTTCCTTAGCTCGTCGTAAGAGAACACTAGATACAGTTGACACTGGAGAATTACTTTTTTCGGCGGGAAGTACCGGCTTTTACTTCGTTGCACTTTTTCAAAAAGTTTTGCTGTTCAATTAAATTCATAGTGTCAATACTGTTCATTATATGGATTACGAGGCATATTTATGAAGCAAACAATATGGGTGAGTTTATTATCCTTAATTTTATGATAATATTAGTAGTTTAAAGAAATTATGAACAATTATATTCGTTTTAACAATAAGCAGTCGTTGCAAAACAATTCCTTTTGGAATATGTAATACAAATATTGTACTTGTGTAAATTAGTATTTTCAATTTCCTTGAATAATTTTCGTATCCTTTGAACACGTATTTACATCATTGGCGTAATTAAGAAAGGATTTATTACGATAGAGGTTATTAGAATTTTATTATATGAGTGAGGATATTATTACTACGAAGTGAAATATGGACAGCACTTAGACAAAGATTCACATATATAATGTTTTCATAAATATTAATCGTAAACTAACAATAAGCATGAAAGATAACATAAAAGGACTGTCCTAAGAATAAAAAATATTCTGTGATCCGTCCGTTTTTAGGTTAAAGGACTGTAGAAAAAGTACATATATGTATAGATACCTGCATTTAATGATCGATAAATTTTTATCATTAGATCTTTATTTTACATTTTTCTCATTTTATTTAGCATTTTTGTTATTTATTATAACTGTTATATATGTACAAAATTGTTAATATAATATGGAAATGTAAACGAAATATTGGTTATTTATAATATTATTGATTATATCTTTTAAAATTTAATTGGAAGTATAAAGTATACAGGGTGACTCAAATTGGGTAGGACAAATGGGTAGGGGGTGATTCTATAAGCAAAAATGTTTTTTTCGGTTGAGCTTTCGTTTTTGAGAAAATTGAGTTCGAAAATTCAAATACATGTGCACTTACAAGAGGAGTACCTGACGTGTATCTCACTGTTGTACTGAACTTTTAGTTATTGTTATTAATTATCATTATCAATATGATCAGTATGATATCAGAATGAGTGTACTTATTATTTAATGTGATTTAGGATCTGAAATTGTTAGTCATTCGTAAATGTTTCATAATATTTAAAAGTTCATTTGAGGTTATCTTTTTGCTCGTAATAAACTAACAATATAAACCCTGTCTTATCCGTGTTGTAAACTATGTAGATAATGCTATGGGTTCACGTTCAAAGTGTAACTGAAATCTATAATATAAAGAAATTTATTACGGTCGGGGAATAAAGTACGCTGTGGCAACTTCGAAAGTTCCTTATACTTTATTACGGTCTGCTAAATATTGCTCTTCAATAAGGGTTGATTGACCGTGGAGAAAGATGAACATCGTCCACTTGAAAAGACGATCAATTTTATTGTATAGTGTTATAAAATTCATGCCGTTTTTTATATTAACATTTAAAATAAAATATTGAAAGTATTTTTGAATATTATAAAAGAACTTTCCTTTTCGAAATTTTATTGACTATTTATTTGTTTAGCACGAGGCCCTTTTAAAAAGGAATTAGAGAGCGTATTGTGTTTATTAATTTGAAACAGTTTTTAATTAAATATTTCACAAGAATGAAACTCAAAAATCGTTGCAAATCACATTTGCAGTAATTCTTTAAACAAAAACCTTATAACTGTTAAAATGAGACAAGGAAATTAAAGTTAATAAAACACAGGTTTCATGTGATTGTTTTTTGTTTAGAATATACGTTTACAATTATTTATTTGTGTTAAGTTCATGCAAATTATCTTTAGCAGAATAGATTGTATTCAAAATAAATCATTCGCTTATATAAATTTAAAATTTCCCTACAGATGTAATAATTTACTATTACAAATTCAATTATATTATACAAGGAAGTTTGTGGAAATTGCATGGGCGTGTAAATTTAGCTTAAGGCATTGGTCGTAATCAGTAGCTCATTAGTGACTCATCAGTAGCTCATCACTAGCAATATGGACAATCTATCGCCATCCGTGAATTATGTGTTCAAATATTCGATTATTCGAAATTTAACGGTACATTTAGTACAATACACAGTTTAAACGCTTCGAATTACTAAAATATTAAAACTTGACATATGAATTCTACTAGTATTCAAATACTAATCTTCAAATCTATTAATATTCTACTAATATTCTTTTTGGTTTTATTAGTGTTCTACTCGTATTGTTTTCGGTTTTACTAATATTTAAATCTACTAGTAGAATACGAGTATTCTTTTTTATTTTTTTCGGTTCTACTAATATTCAAATTTACTAATATTCCAATCTCCTAGTATTCGATTGGTATTCATTTTGGTTCTACTAGTATTCAAATATCAGTTTTAAAATTTACTAGTATTCTAGTAGTATTGTGTTTGATTCTACTAATGTTTAAATACTAGTGTTCAAACATGTATTTGGATTTTCGTAAGAAGCCTTAACTGATATTTCTATTAACCTATTCGCTGTCATGTTGGTCACCGGTGACATTACAAACTTGATTTGGTTATTAGGTGTAGAAATTAACTCGGTGCCTTTAGCATTACTCCTTTTTAATCACTATTTTATATTTGAATATTTTTCCGCGCTTCCATGAACTTGAAAAATGACGCGGAAATATAATAACTATAACAGTTATTTTAGTAATTCAAATGATCTTAATTTTTTTAAAATAAATCTTTAATTAAAATAAAGAAAAAGCACTGAATTAATTTCTACATCTAAGAAACAATTAAGGAATATAAACAATACGATAATTCTAAATATTATAAAAATAGCATTAATACTATTACCTAAATAACAAATCGAAGTATTGTACTAAAACACTCATTTTTAATATCTTCAATAATCCATTTTATCCTCTGTCTGACTATATGTGGTTAATTCTACTGTGGCGGTCAGCGTGTTGACACATTGACTCTCTCAGTAGAAACAGCCAACCGGCGTAGTAAATTAACACGTTGATTGCTATAGGTGAAATGGCTCTATGTATTAAGGCACGGTGTAACTATTTTTCTAATTTTTTCTCTTTTATTTATTCAATTACATTGAATTAAGATGTTAAGGGAGTTTAAGAAAAAGTAAAAATATTTATCAGAACCTTTGGGAATTTTTTAAACAATCAAATGAAAACATCCTTTTTCAGGGGTAATTAACGCTAATTAAACTATAACACTTTTTTATTAAAAAAATTGGTTTAGCCTACATTGTCCATAGATTGGGGTAATGACAGGCATCTGTAGAGGCAAAATGAATCAAGCAATTCTTGAACCTTCTCTCTGAGTAGTTAACCGTGTACAGGGGTGTAATTATCTCCTATACATTTCCAGTGTAAAATGTAAGGAAAAAACTGTAACTGCTAGCAATCAAAAAATTTGTATTAGTCTGGGATGTATTTCTACCCTTATATACAGAGAATGTTAAACAATACACAAAAAATTATTTAGACAAAGATAAAAATGTACAAAAATTAAACAACTTTCAAATTCGAATTACATTATATTACAGAAATTATCTGTAATTTTTTTTGATTTCATGTATGGATTGCAGTTGACAAAACATATTAGATCGCATCGTTTAACGTTTTCACAGTCTAGTTATATATCCTTCTTAATAATCCTTTTCCATATTCTTAGTATTTTTAGTACAGAAAGAACCTGTCTTTATTTAAACTCTTCTTAAGTCAAGAGGAACTGAATACTTAACTTTCATTACCTCTATGATCATTTTATTTCATTGAGAAAGGCAGATAAAAATATGAAATTTGAGTTATAATTAATACTTTCTGAGGCTTTCGGGTGTAAGCCGTGTCCAGAAGGGAGATGTTACCAACGTTTCGCCAGCATTGCAGCTAGCTTCTTCAGGGGTCAGAAGATGCATAGATAGTGATGTGCGTCAGGAAATTATTATCCAGATAATGACTAAATTCATCTTTGGGAATGCTTTCACGGGAATCGGTTATTCGGCCTTATGTAGAAAGATTTTGAGCTGAATAAGGGCTCATTCGAAAGAGGAAGGTTCAATGCAGGGGGCTCAACAAATCGTTTGAGCCACAAAACTCTTATAGTGACCTAAAATGTACTTGGATTCAGCTGGCGTATTTTTTCGATTTTTTCTCTACTTTGGACACTCATATTATTAGATATCAGCACCTTCCTCTTTCGAATGAGCCCTCCCCCAGCCGCAAGTCTTCTCATATAAGGACGAATAACCGATTCCCGTAAACCTCTTAATAGGCCCATTTTTGCCGGTAATGTCACTTTATCTGTTTATCTTTCTATTTTATTTGCAACTTAGAAACCAGTTTGCATAAACAAAAACTGTCAATCATCATGACTAATTCATCATTTTTTAAATTTAATTTTAAAGATTAAGTTGCTGCATATTTCATAATATTGTTAGCGATTGTAAAAAATGAGAAAAATGATAAATTTATAGGTATATATAAAGACAAATGTCCTGACTCATCAGCGCCCAGCCCAAACCCCTGAACCTAAAAACATGTAATTCGGGTAGTGTATTCTTCTCATGACGTAAGCACCCACTAAGAAGGGATTTTTAGAAATTTGACCCTTAAGTGTGTAAAAAGGGTTAAAATCTATTTACACGGATTTCATCAATATCTCTTAGGCCTGATGAGATATCGACTTGGTTTTTGCTTACGAAGGTCACCCATACAATTGATTAAAAACATAATTCAGGATTTTGTTCTAATCAACCTCTAAAGCCGCAAATCTAGATTCCGGGGTGAAGGTAATTATTTAGATTACAGACGGCACCACCGATTTCGATCATTTTTAAATATGTTGTAGAAATCAACATTTTGAACAACCTTTTCCTATACTTATAACAGCTGCTCGGCCTTAGTTTTTGAGATATTTCCGAAAAACTGTCGAAACTATCGCATTGAATTCTACCTATCCGTGTGCGATCGTGACAACGTAAGTACGCGTTAGTATGGGATCGCCGCTTTTCTATTGTTTCTACATGCAGCAACACGGCGACATAACGGGTGGGCTTAAAAATCAAATTTAACTAATTTTAATAATTTTGAATCTCAGCGTATGTATGTGATCGCCTAACGGTGACCAGAATATTACTTTAGCCTAATCCAACCTAATTCACTGATTAGGTAAATTA